TAATAATAATAATAATAATAATAATAATAATAATAATAATAATAATAATAATAATAATAATAATAATATCAATCAATCAATCGTTTTTTTAGTAATAATCATTATAAGTTTATTGAATGAAATTCCCCCCAACTTCATCAATAATGTTAAATATTCGTTATTCTAGTTATTCTTTTTCTTTTTTATCGTAGTTCTTTTTTTTCATTAAGTTCTTAATATCTTAAATTATATTAATTTAATGTTCATGAAATAGATGATGATAATTACAAATTGACTCATGTTATTTACATTTTCTTAAAGGTAATAAAAATAATTACTAAATATTATTTGGAATATTTAAATATTATATATTAATCTTTGGTATCTTATTAATCATTTTTATTAAATTGTTGTTTGAATCCCTTTTATTTATTAAATATTCCATTTTTTATTAAAGTAAATCAAATTATTTCATGGCTAATTCTTGATTTACAGAAATAAACCAATCTGGTGTTATTTTCGGCATTTTTATCATTAATTTTAAACTAGATTTCATTAATTATATGAAAACCTTTTATTCTTTTTTAAATTAAGTTTTCATTATTGGAAATATATACTAGAAATAAGGTTTTGTGTATATACTCCATAATAAAAATTTATTTCCTATTGAAAATTGATGGGTTATTTTATTAAATTATCGTGCTAGAAATTTGAATCTTTGTTTTATTAATTTTAATTCAGGTTTAATTGTTCCTTAATTATCAATTAAAACCCCAAGATATTTATAATTTTATACTATTGGGATAGTATCTTCATTGATCTAAATTTCATCTTCCCAATTTTTGATTTTCATTAATCCACATTTAGAATAATTTATAATTAAATCTAATTCTTTACTTATTAATTATATATCCTTTATTAATTAATTTATATATTTCTTTTTTATTATAAAAGCCATATCGTCTGCATATAAAAACATTTATTTAATCTATTAAAAGCTGTTCCTTAAATATAATTTGTTAATAAATAAATCTGTATAAATATTGAATAAAAGTGGTGATAAACAACTACCTTATGGTATACCATTCTAAAATGAATATTTAGAATTTTTATGATGAATATATTACCAACTCATAAGAGCTTTTAAAAATTCTATATCATCCTAACATAATATTTACTTTTCTTTAATATAATTAAATAGATTTAGTAAGTTAGTTGTATTGTATGCAGATTTAAAATCGATAAAGAAAATTATTAATTTTTATGATTTTTTTGATTATTTAATAAACTTAATTAATTTATATATTTAAGGTGCAGATCCATAACCAGATAAAAAACCATATTAAGCTTTTACTATTTTATTTTAACAATAATCATTAAGTTTTTTAAAAAATCTTAATTCTAGCCATTTATATAAAGGGCTTTATATTATAATAGGTCTAAACTAGTTTGAAAATGGTATTGAAGGATAAACTTTATTTAGTGGAATTAATCTTGTTTCACCAAAATTTTCAACAATTTATGTAATATTATTATTCCATATATTACTTAAAATTTCATAACTTCCTAATTTTTTAATCCAACTATCCGATATTAAATCAAATGTAAGTGCTTTATTACTACTCATTTTTTTTTTCATATAATTAAACTCATCTTTAGATAAAGCTTTTAATGATGGTAATTTTATAGGTTGGTATTCCGCTATTTTTTATATATTTCCTAGGGTATTAATACAATTTAGCAATATTGAGTCTGTATTGGATATTATTTAATCATTTTCTTAATAACAGTCCATTATACCTCCGTCTCTTTTTTATTCATGTATTATTATCAATTTTTTAATCATTTAATGTGCTTTTTTAGATTCATTTGTACGTAATTTTTTTTCTAATAAAATTAGATATTCATTAATAGTATTTTAATAATTCTTTATACGTTATTAGAAAAATTTTACTTTTATTCTTTTGAAGCATTAAAATTAATGATAATTAGTTTTTATTTTGTTATAAAATTCTGTAAAATCTTAACTTTATTTGCAGCAATATTAATTTAATTATAATATTTGGTTCTTATTTATTAATAATCTATTTTATTTTTAACTTAATAAAGATTTATTTAATATAATATTTGTTATTAATATTGCGTGATCAGATAGTTCATTAAATAAGGTTTGATTTGTATATTTTAATTTAATGTTATTGTTTATGAACAAATAATCTGTTTTATTAGTTCTTTATGCTTTCAAATTTTTTCTTTTAAATGTGAATTATTATCCGGTTGTATCTGTAAAACCTGGTATCGAGAATTTTGATTTATTTAAATCTCCACATACAATTATTAAAGCATTCGGTTTTTATTTAATTATTTTTGTTAAAATTTCTAAAAGTTATTAATCAATTTCTTTTAGGTATTTTGTATATGGGCAGTATATATTAAGTACAAAGATTTCTAATTGAAAATATATTACTTATAATATCATAATTTCCACATTTTCTAAATTTAAATCGAATCTATTTGTAATATCGAGTGCTTTAAATTATTTATCAATACCAATAGTTATTCCTCCGCCACTTTTTAATTTCCTTAATTTATTGTAAAAATTATAATTTGGAGAGGAAGGAATGTTATTTCTAGTTTCTTATAAACATATAATATGGGGGTTATATTGTTTAATAAAATTTAGTGTATTCTGTTTTAAAGTAGAAATATTCCATGATATTATTTTTAATTATGATTATTACTTTATATACCTTGTTTACTATTTCTGTTCATCCAAGGTTTAATAATTTTTTGATTTATTATTATTATTTATTTAATTTTATATTTTAAAAGGTTAATTTATTAAACTATCAATTTTGATAACTCCCTTTATTTATACCTGATTTAGAAAACTTATTATTTTTTGGTGTTATTCCTTAATGTTTCTAATATATATGTTATTTATAAGATGATATGTTTTTGTAAGGACCAGTTGAGCATTCTTCACAATAATATTTATTATTTTTAATATTTTTATTAATTATTTAAATTGATTCATTTGATTCTATTTTATTTATTATTTATTCTTTATTTTCATCTTATTAATTCATCTATAATCCATTATTTTTTTGTATATGAATTTATTAGTTTTTTTAAATAATAAGTTAATTTAATCTTTCATCCATAATTTACATTAGTATTTATATTTAATCAGTGTCTAATTTAGATAGTTGTTATATTTATTCCTCTTCTTATAATTAATTGATATTTTAATTTTTGATTTAATCTAAATCATTTTTTTATAAGTTGAGTTAATTAATATTAAAATATTTGTTGATTTATTATTTATTACTTTTATTTATATCATATTTTTTAGGTGTGTTCTCATTTAATTATTTTGATTAATTTTATTAAACTTTTTAATCTTCTGATTAAATAAGTTAAGAATTCTATGTTTATTTTTCTTAGTAGGGAAAAATTATCTAATATTTGTGCTTATCTTACAATAAGAATAACTTGTCCTAGTGTTTTCCATAAACAAATTTCTTCTTGCTTTTTTTATTAAAAATGATCATCTATATTTCAGTTAGTTTAACTATTAAATAAATATAGTTATAAAATGATTTATTTTAATCTGTCTTTCTTAATTTATAAACATCTTATTGTAGTTAATTCTTATTAAAAAATCCATAAGAATAGTTCTCTATTATTTAATATATATCATTGAATTCATTCATCTTATAATAATAATAGTAATAATATTAATAATATTAAAAATAATATAAAATCAATGATATAAGACAAACTTATATTCTTGAATGAGGAAAAATATTTATAATAGTAATAGGCATCTTTAGAGATTGCAGAAGAGAATGTAAAGCATTTAATTAAAAAACTTAGATTCTTAAGGATGATAGAACCACTTTGATGCTCAAAAATATACCAAGAAGCATGAAGCCAAATGACTTGAGAAATATTTTAAATAAAGAATTTCGTAATCTCTATGATTTTTTCTATTTACCTTTGGATAACAATGTATTTCTAATTTAATATTTGAAGAATGAAGGTCATTTGGGATATGCTTTTGTAAATTTTATCAATCAGGATGTAGTATTAAAGTTTTATAGAACATTTAATAATTAAAAATGGACTAATACAGAGAAAGTATTTCTAATTTTATTAATTGTAGTAAATTTGTCAATTGAAATATGCAAAATTATAGGGAAGAAGACAATATGAATTTGCAAGATGATTGAGTTTCAAATAGCTATTTTTGTGTATTTTTTTTCAAATTTTGATTTAAATTCATTCAAGGATAATATGGAGCTAATAGTTTTTAATTATATAAATCATTTAAGTTTAATGAAGAATAAACTTCTGAATCTGTTAAAATTTATTCAAAGTTCTTCACTTTTTTCATTCTTTTCTAAGCATTTTTAGTCAATAATTATTTAATTAATAATTTTACAGACCTTAGAATAATTACAATATCAACTTATCTATGCACTATGGAAATTCAACTTTATCATTCACAATAGCTTAATACACTTCATATGGTGTCTTGCCCTTAAAAGGAAGTTCCCCAGTTGAGAACTCATACAATAATACTCCTAAACTCCAATAATCCACACTATTATTATAACCTTATCCTTAAATTGCTTCAGGAGCCATAAAACCTGGACTTCCACATAATGTATTTGTCTTTTAAGGATACTTTACCAATTTACTCAAATCAAAATCCACTAATTTTAGATATCCATTCTTCATAAGCAATAGATTTTCAGACTTTAAATCTCTATAAATCACATCATTTTTATGTAGATAATCCAAAGCTAAGATGATTTATGCTGAATAAAATTGAATTGCTTCCAATTCCAATTAATGATTGCGTATGTATTTATATAGTGATTATTCATGTAATAGTTCCATTAAATAATATGCAGAATTATTACAGATCTCATATTAGAACACTTTAACAATGTTTGGATGATTCAAGAGTTATAATCTTTAGAAAAGCTGTTCTGAAAATAAATTTAATGGAATCTATTTAGCTGCATATTTCTTCTAATCTCTTTAATTTATCACTTCAACAACCTGTCCGTATTCTCCCTCTCCTAACTTCCTAACAAAGACATACCCACTCATTAATTATATCTAATAATTCCACTTTATTGACTACAAAATGCTATAAACTTACTCAAATTATAAGTCACTTTTAAAGAATCCTCATCCAAATTAAATTAATGTTTTAAAAAAAAGAACATTATTTAATTGAAAATACACAATAACTCATTTAATATCTTTCAGAATTGTGCTTGCAAACTTTGAAATAAAATCTTTTAGTCCTGCTATTGATTTATTTAATTCGTTTCTATAAATAATAATAATTATTAATATACTAATTTTTAGGTCCACTTACTTTTTCTAAATCATCTATACTTCTTATCAATATTCCTATCTTCTCTAAGGCCATTACATAATCTTTCTTTATTTAATCCAAATCCTCATTAATCTTAGCCTTTATCTCTTAATTCTTTTTATCATGAATTAACTATTTATAATAATTTAATTGCTGCACCAACTATAAATTTAATAGAATTCATACTTTAACTTATAAGATCTTTAATTCTGCCTCTAATTATTATCCTTATGCATCATTTATCACTATGCTTCTATTTTATATTGTATTTTTCTCAAGTTCTTATTATTATTAATTAATATAATCTTAATACTTTTAAACTTAATTCAAATAATTTTAATTCTAACTTGATAATTGCTTAATCTCTTTATTTAATTTATCCTTATCCAACTCACATTATGCAATTTATTGGTTCAATGAATTTAATTAATTCTTTTATAAATTATAATTCTCTCTTAATTATTCTAATTCTTATTATTAGGATTTCAATTTAATTTCTTATTATTCTAATAATTTTCCATTTTATTCTTTTAAAGCACTCAATTCTGAAACTTAACTTTCTAATTTATCAACCTTTTTTTAATTTTATTATAATTTAGTGTTCTCAATTTATAGTTTACTTAACTCTTCTAATTTCTCATTTAAAGTCTATTGTAATTCTGAATTTTCTTAACTAAGATTAGTTATTTATTATAATTATTACTAAATCTCACTTTCATATTATTCTCTAGAATCTGATAATTAAGAATTAACATTTTGTAATTATTAACTTAATTTATTTAATTTTTCATCTAATTCTTATTTTTATTTGGTTATTAATAACAAATTATTTTGAGTCTACAACAAACTCTATTCTAATTAAGTAACATTATTGGTTAATTAATTAATTTATTTTTCTGATTATTCTCTATATTGTTATAATTATTCTTAAATATTTTTCTATTATAAATCTATTAATTCTTTTTCCTCTTTTTCAGTCAACAATTTTTAGGTTATTTGTAAATTTTAAGAATTTTAATCATTAATTTAAGAATTCATTTATTTAATTTAATCATTTTGCCTTTATTTTTCTTCCTCTAATTTTATATTTTACTACTTTAACTTTTCTAATTCTTATTTTGTAGTATTTTATATTTATTATAGTATTTCAATCTTATTTTATAATTCTTTATTCTCTTAATTAATTTAATTATTTTCATTCTTAGAACTTTGTAGTTTACTATTTAAACTTTATATTTCTTATTATAATTAAGTAGTTGTTTGATTTGATTAATCAATTTAACTTTTAAAATATTTAATAGATTCATCTAATTAATTCATAGATTCATTTTTTGATCTTATTTATTAATTTAAAACACTAATCTATTCAGTTAATAGCTATTCTTATTGTTATTTACTTTAAGATAATGATTATATTTATTATTTAAGATTTGCAATTTGATCATCCCTTGTTTTTATTTACTAATTTAATTATTGAGCTTGAGATTAACTTTAATCTTATAATTATCTTTAAATTAGTTCTTTCATTTCCTCAGCATTAGCAGCACTATTCTAAATATCAATTAATTGTTTTTTCAATAAATCAATCATTTCATTTTTATTATTAATATTAGAATCACTTTCTTTTATTTATCTTTACATTTCTAATTACAACCTTTAGATTTCTTCCTTTAATATCTTAATTTCATAAACTTATTATTCTATTTTATTATTTAAATTTTATTCATTCTCAAATAGATTAATTTATTTCTTTTAAGCTTCATTCTTTAATAATTAATTAGCACTTATAGCAGCTTATAATTATTATTATATCTAAATAATATCTTGTTGATGATCTTCTTCCAATCTTAATTTTTCTTCCTTATATTATTTTATTGTATTTTATAATTTGAGTATTTCACAATTAAGATTTGATATTTCAAATTCGAATGTACTAATTTATAAATTGAGAGTATTAATTTTTTATCCTGCAATTTATTCATTTTCTTAACTTTCATTAATATAATCTTAAAGTTCTTAAATTATTTATGTTTATTTAAATAACTATTATTTTAATTAATCTGAAGTTTGCTCAAATTATTTTGATAATTAAGATTTTTCTGATTCTTTTAGAGTTATTACTTAAGATAATTATGCCACTTCTAAATTATATGATGCAATTTTATTATTGCAATCTTAAATTTATTAATTAAGTTTTTTTTCATTAATTTACTTATCCAGAATAATCTAATTCAATTCATTTTACTTCTCAAATAACTTTTATCCTAATTCATCATTTTATGAATTTTTATCTTCAAGATTAGTTTAAAGAGATTCTATCAAATGTTATTATTATATTGATTTTTCTTCTATTTAATTTATCTTATTATTTGCTTTTTGTATATTAAATTCTGATTCTTTTATGTATTTCTAAAATTCTATATTTTATTTATCTTTTTAACTCTATAAATCTTAAATAAATTATTAACAAGATTCTTAATCCTCTTCATATTTTTATTATAAATTATTATATAATTCTTTTTATGAAATTAATTAATTTTATACTTCTTCATTTTACAATTTCAATTCATTATAATTTTCTTCTAATTCAGATTAACTTTCCTTCAAACTCTAAATTTATTATTTATATTCTTTTTCACTCTCACTTTTTTCATCTTCCATCATTTTTTATCTTTCAATTAATACATTTCTTTCTTAAATTAATTAATCAATTTGATCTTTCTATTAATTTACATTTTATTAAAATTCTGCAATCTAAAAATCTAAATTTAATATCTAAGCTTCCTTTTTATTTAAAATGGCTAATTTAGCTTAAAGTTCATCATCATAATTTTATTGATTTTCTTAAAGTGTTTAGGATACTAATTAAAGTTCTTCATTCATTTATTTATTAACAGCTTCAATCTCTAATTTCTATTTTTCA